GTTTAAAGAAGCAATCTTCAATTTGTGTTTGTATTTATGTATAACAATCGTCAACTTTTGCTAACACTTTGTGTTTACTTCACAAAGATTGCTCGGGTAAGATGCATTCTAACCAGATAATATACAAATTTTGAATATATCCGCTTATTAACTACAATGTCTCTGCAATACGCACTTTTACTTCTTATAACGTAGTTCATATATATTAACATTAAAAGATATCTACACAATTAATTTTTTGTGAAATTGCAAGACATTTTTTCCCTGTAAATTTTTCCCTAATACCTAATTATGGAGTAATTAGCAATTAAAAATTATACTAACTGGCTTTTCTTTTGAAAATTGTATCTAGGCAAAAATCGCTGCTAACAATTGAAACAAAAGCAGTGCAAATACGTCTGTTTTGTTTTGTACGCCATGTTTTGCTAATTAACTACATAATTTTTAATTGCTGGTTACTCGATTATAGTGCATCCGATCGAAAAATTAAGAAGAAAAAAGTTTTTAGAATTATAAAAAGCGCCGAATACTGCACAAAAATAAATGTATGACAATAAAATATTTTCCGAATTTATAATTTTTTTAGTCAAATTTCTATTATCCTTTCAACGTTTTCGGAACATTTTGGTTCGTAGCAGGACCGGCTTTTATACTTTCTGCAAACACGTATATTGACAAGTGGGTTAGAGAATCTGTAGTAAACGCAGTTTTGCTATTAATTACTTTTGGAGGGCACCTGATGTTTTTGGTAATATTTATACCTAATAAAGATATTAAAAAACAGCACTTATTATGGTACGATAATTTCAGGTTTTAACCATGCCATCAAGAGCTAATAAAAATTTTCCTTATCATGTAAGAACTTCTCAAATTGGTATCATGGAAGTAGCAGGTAATAAGTAGCATTTTTTATAAAAACCATTGCGGTCTGCAAATTTATTTGTGTACTTACTTCTTTCAGGACCAAATTCTCCTGGTCATTTTAATCATTACCCTTATGAACCATCAGCTGATCCATACGAACAAACTGTTATAATACCTTTAACCAAAAGAACTGAAGAATTGTTTGGGGGAATTTATGCTCATAAATTAAATTCATCCACAAGAAGTACTAATAATTCTCAAAACAATCTTATGAAAGATGTAGAAGAACGAAGATTAGCTATAGACATTATACCAGACTCACGAATGCAAAATGTTCTATCCTGGGCTATTGCCAAAGATTGTTCTTCACTTTCAGTTCCTACATTCGAAAGGATTTATCAAGGGGATAGTTTCCGTAACTCATATTTATTTATTTATTTATTTGCTTTAAAAGTAATGAAATCTGAAGAGATTTTGCCAAAATTTGTTCTTAACTGTTTTTTTATTATTTATTGTCATTATATATCCAGTAACATTAAGAAAAACTTCAATTTAACGTTTAAAAGTTAATTTCTCTCATTTTAAAATTCAAATAAATTCGAAATAATTGAAATGCAGTTTTCTACATTAACGTCAATCTGAAGGGCCTGTCAGTTCTTGTAAATGTTACTAATAAAATGCCTCCTGTTAAATTTGACGAAGTTCTGCGACGACGTCAACCGTGGGCAAAGAAATCACTAGTGAACTCAATTGAATTATAGATCGAACCTCTAGTGAACGCAATTAAAACATAGATTAGTTATTTACCAAAATAAAATTTTTAGAATTGAATTGCGCCTGTCTACCTGTTAATCCATTTATTTGTCTGAGCTAATCTCTGAAACGTCCGGGTTCAATGTAATGCTTCCCTTTTCGATTTCAGTTTAGGCTATGTTTCATCTCAATATTTCAAATAATTTTGGAAAATTTTCTCAGAAACTTGGCTGCACAATACAATTACTGTTTGGTTTAGTTTGGATAATTGAATTATTTGATTATTCTTTGTTATTTTTAACTACCTATAGCTAAACGTGTTTCCTTTTATATACTTTTTCAGGATCTACCCAAAGTAGAAGAGACGAAACCGAAAATCCTTACTCAAGTCCTACTTTCGAAGTTCAAAAGCGTACCGAATTCCCGAGAAATGACTTCAGTGATTACATTAAAGACGTTCCAGTTGAACTATTCACGGTAAGCAAAATGGTTGTAACAACCACCAGCCAAAATAATCATGGAAAAGAGGAGCGAAACGATTAATAAGTAATTTAAACATTCACAAACGCACAATCTTTTTTATTAGTTACTCATAATTTTCAATTTGCTTCCTTTAAATATCTACATTAATTTATAAAGATACATAACAAATACATATCAAAAATTGTACTAGAAGTATAATCTTTAAATAAAAAAATTAGTTTACAAAATTCGCTTCACAATTTTAATTTTAATGCGAGCAGATGACAAGTCTTATTAAACGCAAGGTTGTAAGAATCGAAAACAATTTATCCAATATCTTACTATAAATCTACCCTTAGCAAACTTCTTAAAGCTCTTGTGGCTTATTTATTGAAGTATGTTTCAAAAAGTCCACTCATCAAATATGTAAAATAAAACATAAATTACCACAAAAATAAACATTTATTATTCGTCATCAAAATACATTTTTCATCACGATGATAAGTCAAAACAGTATCCTAGAGAACGTTAGTCATACATTTTTTAATAGGTACTTTAGTCGTAGAATTTTAAATAAATCAACATTGGTTTAAGTTAAACATTAATACAATTTAACAAAAAAATCAGTAGACATTCCTTAATTTACACTAACTCCTTCCAACTGTGTAAGTACATTAACCATTTCCGGACGATCTTTTGGCCTTTCACTGACACATAATTTCCCAATATCTATTAAACTCCTATAACAAACATCCCCACTTTCTACGCGAGTATCCTTTAAATCTAAAATGTCTCCTTCGTAATTTACCACGTGATCCTTTAGAAATTTCTCCTGCCTTTGGTTCGAATAAGCGCTAAGAGATGTAGCAATTTCAAATAGAACTACCCCAAAACTGTACGTATCAACTTTTGTAGAAAATTTCTTAGCCCGAAGGAATTCATCAGGAAGGTAGGGTCTTGTACCATGAATCCTTGACACTTTAATGTGAGTATAATCGGCATGAGGACCTTCTCTAGCAAGGCCAAAATCTCCTATTTTAGCGTTGTTACAAGGATCAAGAAGGATATTCGCCGATTTAATGTCCCCGTGAATTAAAGGCTTCTCGCCTATTGTGTGAAGATATTGAAGACCTCTGTAAAAACAATGATAGATATAAATTGCTGGGGGATCCAAATAACAAATACTATCTTATTAATTATTGAAACACAATAAAAGTAACAGATGGAATATAAATAAATTAGAGCTGAAAGGGTAAGGTTTTTAGTAATATAAAATCAATACCAACGTTTCGCCTCTTGGTATGATACTTTACCAATTACCATTTTAATAGAAATCCTACCACCCTATATTAAGGGGAAGAAATGGATGTCGTAACAATGTTTTGAGCAAAAAGCATTCTGCATTCTTTAAGACACTTTTAAAACACTCATCTGCCAATTAATTCAACTTTTTTTTTGCATACCTATTTGAAAAAACAAATTCACAATTAAATTGTAATTAATTTGTACCTTGCAGTTCCAATGGCAATATTAAGCCTCTGGCGCCATTTTAAAACCTTTTCTTGTTCTTTGACTTTTAGTCTTCTTTCAAGACATCCACCAGACATAAACTGATAAACAAGACAGGGCTGTGGCCCGCCTATGCTATACCTAAAATTTAATAACATCAAATAACGTCATTTTTCTTATTTATTTTTCCATGCATTATATAAAATTGCAAGCAAAAGCTATACTAACTACTAACCACTGCTACTAATAATAATATGAAAATAGCTTTTGTAAGAATCATTAAAAAAAAACATTTAATTTTAAGACCAAGAAGAAACAATTGAAATAGCTATAAAACTATTTATTAACAGGCACTAGGGCAATTGAATAAGGAATAAGAGAGAGGTAAGATGGTAGGACACCTTCTGAGACATGGGCTAGTAAGATAAATTAATAAGAGTAAATAGGGACAAAGGGAGGCCTAGGTTAGATTAGTGTTACCAAATACATACAGATGTGGGATGTTCCAATTTTCTGGAAATGTGGAGATTAGTTCAGGATCGGAGAAAGTAGGGTAATATCTATTCAATCCTCAGACTGATGTTCCTATAATGATAATGACTATTAATAAGGCACATACCCATACAAAGGCAAAATATTATCATGTCTGTAAGCATTTAGACAATGTAATTCAGTTATTGATTGTTTAATCTGTTCACTATGGGACTCTGGATTATCTTCTCTTTGTTCAATTCTTTTTATAGCTACTTCTGTATACTTCCATGTACCTTTAAAAAATTCAGAAAGTATGTTTTAAAAGTCATACAGTTACAGAATGATAGAAATTCTAATTTCATAATCAAATTGTAAATAAAAAAAAACCTTTAAAAACAGTTCCAAATCCTCCCTTTCCCAAAACTGTTGTTGGACTCCAGTTGTTTGTGCTCATTTGAAGTTCTTCATAAGGAATTTGTGGTATAGCACCAGCTGTCTCAGCTACATAAGAAATATCAGATACAAGAAGCCCTTTGGATGTCCCAGTCTGTATCTACAATGTAAAAAGGTATTTTTTTAATTGTGAATGGACTACATAACAAATTTATTTCATTACTGACCCTAGCAAGAGGCAGTCTATGTTTTAAAACCACTTTTTGATTGATACTTTCATTATCTTCTCTACTAACTTCATTCTGATGTTGATCGTTTGGAGCAGCATTAAGGATTTTTATTTGACTTTCAGTTTCAATGCCGTAATTGAAAACATTTTTATGAGTAATGTTTAATGCTTTCTCTGACATGTTATTAAAGTTTTCTAGAGGCACTTTTGCATCTTTTACACATGGATTCTCAATAGTGCACTGTTGAAACTTTCTTGTTAGATCCTTTAAAACTATAAGTCTGTGGTATGGTTGATCAACATATTTCTTAATAATTGTCATTGCATGATAGTGACGCATACGACTAAGCAATACAAACAGTTCCAATACAGTATGATTTTGATGACCCCACTTAGTAAGAAGCTCATCTGATGGTGAAAACCCTCTTGATTCTTGGCGTCGCAAATCCTATTTAATAACAATAAACTAGTCATACTTTTAACAATATTTAAAGTAAATTCCATATTTACCTGTACAGTAAAAGTATCGTACTTCATGTGAGAAACAGCTAGCTCTTCCCATGTTTTATTTTGATCAAGAATTCTACACAATTCTCTTCTTTCTAAATGGGGTAACTGATAAATATACATTATTAATCAGGCAACAAAGGATATAGTATGTAAAAACAAAAGGAAGCAAATAACTACTGCATCACTTCTCATGAAATCTCTGGCTGACAAAGTATTTAGGACAATGTGGGAATTTCCAAAACCACATTGCAAATTGTATGACGAACATAAAAATATTTTATAGGCTGGCATAACGGAAACCCGACTTGTCCATCTCCTTATAACTGGTTCTAAATTTCTCTGTATATTTACATTTCCTTTCACATATCTTCTATTTTTATTCTGCAAATTTTAATTCGTCATACTACACACTATTTTTGTTATTTTCAATTGTTAAAAAATAAGTTTAAGAGAATTTTTTCTAGGATAATTTTAAATATTTTTTTCCTGATATGGATGCATTCATCATCTTCCGTCTCACGTGAGTCGTGAACAACACTCTTAAATAACTTTATTGTGAATATAAATTTCTTTTACTAAGTAACAAACAGTAGGACCATTTATTTCTAGATTGCAAAATAAGTTCATGGTTTACATTAATATATTTATTATTTATAAATGGTCATAGTATTTATAAAGATTACATATCAGTTCCTGAAAACGTTTGCCATTACTCGATCAATTGTGGATCAATCGCAATTTCTGGTATATGTTTCTTGAATCTATGGCAATTTCCATTAATCTATGAACAATTTCTATGTTAGCAGTTGCAATTAATCTATGGTCGCAATCATAGATAAAAGATTATATATATCTTATCTAGGGTTTCAATCTTTCAATCGCATGTCTGCCTTCTGTGGTTTTGTGCCGACTAACCTCAATTATCCTTAATTTTTTGATTTCGTGGCAGATTCACGTTTCGTGTCAAAAGACTTAAATGTAAGTAATAGTTTGGATATTTACACTAAGTAAATATCCAAA